TGGATGGACAATTATAGTCTCTAAAAACCTATTGGAGGGTCAGCTATAATTTGGTTCTGACTAAATGGCAATGGCAGTATTAATTCTAAATAAGATATAAGCTTCAAATTTAGGTTTAGAAAATCATTAAAATATATTTAAAGCTACACATACAACACACAAAAGAGAAAATTGTTAAACATTTTAATGTATTGTTACATTCATTTCCATTAAAACACATCCATGGCACTTAAACCACTACCGTTTCTTAAACTGATTCTTCTTTCTATTGATTCATAGCTACTCAACTCTCAGAGGTTAGCAATGAAAGAATAATTGTTATAACAATATTTAGATACTGATTTCCCCCAAATATAGGGTTATACATTAAAATATATTTATAACTACATTTGTTGATACTTTATCTTTTTCTTTTCCTAATATATTTTAAAATTTGTTTTATTTTATACTGATTTATTGACAAAGTTTGAATACACTGTTTTTCACACTGGATCTTTCCCAACCCATCAAATTGTGTGACTCTATGATAACACAATGGCTGAGCAATCAGCTGGTAACCAAAAGGCCTGTGGTTCAAACTCACTAGTAATTCCAAGGAAGAAGAAGCAATCTGCTTCCATGAAGGTTTGCAGCTTTGGACACCCTATGAGTCTGTTCTATGTGTCCCTTTAGGGTTGCAATGAATTAGACTCTACTCGATAACAATGGATAGAGTTCGGTTTTAATTAACATGAAATCTGGATTTTTATAGTAAAATTTTAGAATCTGTAACAGTAAAAGTGCATTATGAGGGAAACTGAACTTGTTATTAAAATCTATTTAATAAAAGAGCCAACTATATTTTATAATCATTATGCTTTTTAATAAGAGCATGTCATTCTCAATATACTTTAGTTCAAATGGTATTAAGGATCTAAATGTCTTGTGTAAGTCTCAATTTCATTTTAAATCTTGATATCAATAATCACTGTTAATTAGTGAAATGAAGTTCATTGTTAAAAGTTATCTTAATAAATGTGAATTTTAAGTAGTTAAAATTTCAATTAACAAAACTTGGTGAGTTAAATTTACCCTTTTTTATCATTTCCTCTCTTAATTGATTCCTTGACGAGCACTAATGAGTGAAGATTAGATGAGCTATGGAAGGAATTGAAGAGTATCATTCATGAAGAATGCAAAAAGTCACTGCAAAGACAGAGGAGAAAGAAAAGACAAAGATGGGTGTTAGAAAAGACTGAATATTGTACTACAACATGTAGAAGCCAAAGCAAAGGGAAGAAATCAAGAAGTTAAGGACCTGAACAGAAGCAAAGTATTATAATGAAATGTGCAAGGGGCTGGAGTCTGAAAATAAAAATGGATGAACTCACTCAACATTTCTTAAACTGAAGGAAATGAACAAATTCAAGCCTCGAGTTGCAGTACACAGGCATAGTGAAAGCAAAATGATGAATGACTCAGGAAGCAGCAAAAGATGGGAGGAGTATACAGAGGCACTATACCAAACAGAAATGCTGACACACAGGAATTTCATGAAACAACATATGATCAAGAAAGTTCAAGCTGCTCTGAAGAATTAGTAAAAAAAGGCTCCAGGAATTGATGGAATATCAATTAACATATTTGAGCAAACAAATGCTTCCCTGGATGCACTCACTAGGTTATGCCAATAAATCTGAAAGACAACTACCTGGCCAACTGACTGGAATATTGTTGTTGTTGTTATGTGCCGTCGAGTCGCCTGCGACTCAGAGCAACCCTATGTACAACAGCCCTAAACTCCGCTCTGTCCTGTGCCAATCGCACTGCCTCTGACACTCCCATCCCAATTATCCCAGTCACTGAATCAATCCACCTCATAGAGGGCCTTCCTCTCCTGCGCCGGCCCTCCACCCTCCCAAGCATGATGTCTGAGGCTCCGTCTAACTTACTTTGGACACTGACTGTAATAGATCTGTATTTATTCCCATTCCAAAAAAAAGGAGACCCAACAAAGTGTGGAAATTATCGAATAATATCACACGCAAGAAAGATCCTGCTGAAGATTATCAAGAAACAACTGGATCAACAAATCAGCGGAGAACTGCCAAATGTGCAGGCTGGATTTAGAAGAGGTTGTGGCACTAGGACATCACAGTAAATGTTAGGTGGATATTGGCGGAAAGCAAAGAGTACTAGAGGAATGTCTATCTGTCTTTCATTGCCTATGCAAAGGCATTTGACTGTGTGGATCACAACAAACTGTGGCTAACCTTAAAACACTTAATTGTGCTCATGTGAAATGTAGATTAAGACCAGGAAGTAGGAGTCAGAACAGAGAAGGGAAACACTGCATGGTTCAGGATCACGCAAGGTGTGTATCAAGGATGCATTCTATCTCCATACCTTTTCAATTTATATGCAGAACAGATCATTCAAGAGGCTGGAGAAATGTAACATGAGGATTGGAGGAAGACTCATCAACAATCTTTGCTATGCAGATGACAACTGCTTGCTGAAACTGAAGAAGACATGAGACATTTGCTGCAGAAGGTCAAGGACTGTAGTCTTCAATATGGATTGAAGTTCAACATCAAGAAAACAAAGATCCTCACGACTGGACCAATTGGCAGCATGATAATAGATGAGGCAGAGATTGAGACTGTTGATAACATCAGCCTGCTTGGTTCCACAAGCAACACTTTGGCATCAGCAGTCAGGAAATAAAAGAACTAATTGTATTGGGAAATTATTCTGTCAAGGACATCTCTAGAGTAATTATAAACATCGATGTCAGTCTGGAGACTAAGGTGTACCTGATCCAGGCCATGGTCTTTGCAATTACTTGCTATGCACCCGAGAGTTGGACAATAACTAAGGATGATAAAAAATAATACCTTTGAGCTATAGTGCTGGAGAAGAGTGTTAAACATACCATGGATTTCCAGGAGAACAAACAAGCCTGTCCTGGAGGGGGTGAAACCAGTTTATTCCTGGAGTTAAGGATTTTGAGGCTCCATCTCACATTTGGGACCAGTCCTTGGAAAGGGACATCATGCGTAGAATGAGAGAGAGCAAGTGCAGAAAAGAAACATCCAGGATGAGATGGAGTGGCTCAGTGGCTGGAGAAATGGGATTAAGGCTGTTGGAAATAAAGAGATTGCCTCAAGATAGAACAGGTTTCAGAGCTAATGTACGTAAGGTCACTGTGAGTCACAGGCATCTTGATGGCACATAGCAACAACAACATTGTTCTTCGTAAAAGTTTCTGGTTCCTATTACATGGAGAATACAGGACTGGTTATATAATATAGATTATTGTAGTCAATAGCTGTATGATTATTGCCAATTAACAAACTACACATTTAGGGTCTCCTTTTCTACATACATTACTTTTATGGTATCTCCCAGCTCTAACATATAAAAAGGAGAGCCAGATTATACAAATTTGCACATTTACAAGGTTTCTTTTAAAACAATTTTAAAAACAAGCTTTGTAAAATTTGACAATTTTATGTTGCACCATTGTGAATTACCCTAATTTATTTTCTCTAGAGTTTTCTAATTAAGTTATACATGTTTATTTTATAAAAGATTCTTAGAATTTGTCAAAATAAGATCACAATCAACTCATGGTTTTTGATTACTGTACTGTTAGTGATTATAGGGCAAGGTTCACAACTATTTTAAACAGGGTTGCCATGAGTCGCAGGTGACTCAATGCATATGACATAGGCACAACTCTTCTTACAAACTGACTTGAAGACAGTGTTTTCATTGAATATATCAATCTGTCTGGGATTTACTTAATATCTGACCTTTGAGAAGGATCCTTTCTTTTTTTTTTTTTTTTGAGAAGGATCCTTTCAAACAGAGAATCTTAATTTACTTTAGAACAACACTGACTATAACCTTCCAGTATATTGTTGTTGTTGTTAGGTGAAGAAGAATAGGAATTCAGATAGTGCTCATGTGAAACCTATACCAAGACCAAGAAAGAAGCTATTATCCAAAGAGAGCAACGGAACACTACATGATTTAAAATTGAGAATTCAAATATAGATACACTAATTCATTAATTTTAGCTTTAAAGAGGCAATTTTGGAAAACGTGGTATGGTTTCACTCAAGCTCTCCCTGCAAAAGGGTATATTATTGAGTTCATTATAGATTGTTGTCAAAATAAGATGTTCTTAATAATGGTCAAATTAGAGTACTAGTAACATTGTAACAGCACCATTAATAGAATAAAGAAAAGAGAAGAAAGGGTAAGTGGGACTGTGATGGAAAAATTAGCAAAAATCAGTGCTTTGTAACTTAAAGGAATCTCTGGTGTGATTCTGTCTGGGAGAGTTCTCGTAGCACAGCACTGCTAACTAAAATCCGCCAGTCTCCTACTGTTGTTATTTATAGCCTTAGAAGGCTGGTGGAGACTCACTATGCATGGTTTGAGTTTTTCAGTATGGTAATAAAAAGATTTAATATCAGTACAAGCTCTAAACTGACTAAAATTATCTGTTAACCTTTCTCAACAAAATAACTTTAGCATTTTGGTCAATACTAACAATTGGTATTATGAAAATTGATATTGTTGTTGTATACCACTGAGCCGGAACCAACCCATAGCTGACCCTCCAGCAGGTTTTCAGAGGCAGTAAATCATACAGGAGGAGATTGCCCAAACTGATAAGACTTTAGATTTATTCACATTTCTAGAATATGTGTCTTCAAATATGTTTTCTCTTTTTAGAAACATGGTTTATGAGATAAAAACATGAACTATAACTAAAAAAATAATTTTTTCTATTTTTGCAAGGGCTGATCTAAATGCAAAAAACTCTGAAAAGAGACTGAATTTATGAAATTATAATTTCTGTCATCAAGATGAAAAGGAGATCATTTACAGAATGAATATATTTTGTATTGTGACATTACAAGAGCTCTGATTATTTCCAATCTTACTTAAGGAATAATGGTGACTAAAAAATCAAATACAGTTTAAGCAAAGCCTGACTCTTTGATTTAGAGATTGGCATTCATTCCTATCCAGTGTTTGATCAACTGATGTGCAATAGCTCGGCTTGGTGGCACAAAGAATGCTTGCTGCTTCCCTTTGGTGAGAACATCCATGACCTAAAACGCACCATAACAAAATTTATTAGGATTTTATCTCTCAAATTGGAAAAAAGAAACCCACTATCATACAAACATTACTAGTGAATCACATAACTATTATATTTAAGCTTTATTTCCATTCTCTTATAATTCAATAAAATGATTACTTTTATAGGGAATAACAACAGCAAATGTGATAAGAGCTACATTCAACATACAAAATTGACTACAATATTCTTAACGGCTTCAATGAGTTGGTGATATAATTTTTGAAGGTATATTTCCTTATGGAAATGAGATCAAGAAAAATAAAATAAATATTCCATCCTTAATTTCAAAGCAAAAAAACCAAAAGGTTGAGACAGATTTTTCTTCTATAAAACTAAAATAAAAACGTCACTTTTACTATTTAGTATGGGATATAAAGTAAAGCCAATCTTATTTAGGGAAAATCTGAAAAGATTCTAATCCCTCATTACTGTAAAACTTAATTCCTTTTCCACAAATGCTCTGGGGTTATGCCATACAAAGACAAGTAATTTCTTCTCCATTATATTATTTAGCATGATGTTTTTTTAAAAGTTTTCTGAGTATATCTTTGTTACACAGTTATACCATGCTTGTCCTTAAATATATTTAAAATGAGGAAGAATTTCAAAAACATTTCAAGGTTTTTACTGATACTTCTGAGAGAAATTGCTTTAATTCAACAACCTAAAATATAAAATGTCTTAGCACAATAATCCTGGAATGACATTTACCTATTTTAAGTGCACTGAAAAGCATGATCTGAAGATAAACAGTTTTGAAATTAGAAAAAGACACAGTCATCATTACTAGACAAGCCTCACAAAATTGGTTAATAAAGGACACATTAATGAACATATTCTCTCTCTCGTATGAAAATACAACTGCATACCAATTTACACAAAAGGAAAAGATCATGTTAATTCATTCAACTTGCTAAAAATATGCATCCTTGTCACATGCTCATACTATATATACAGCCAGAGAACAATCAATAGAAGAAGGAAATTCAATTGCACTTTACCTGTTCTCTAGTGAACCAGCGGGCATCCTCTATTTCATTCTTGTCAACTTTAATTTCTGTAGACACTGCTACAGCTAAGCAACCAATCATTAAGGAGGAGGGCATTGGCCATGGTTGACAAGAGACATACTGAACATGCCCAACTCTGACTCCACTTTCCTCTTCTACTTCTCTGCGAACAGCATCTTCTATAGTCTCTCCTAATAAAAAGGGGCAAAACAACAATAGCTGATGAATATGTCCTGTAGATTTTATGCTCTGGATGGTTCAAACATTTGAAAATTTATAGACAAGAACTCATTTCAAAGAGTCAGAAAAAAGCACAAAACCAGTTTGGAATTAAATTTTTTTTATATTAAAAAAAGTATATGATCATATACAAAATATCACTGTGTCATCAAGAAACATAATTCCTGACAATCCAAATTATTTTAAAACCTCAATAATTTCTCTAATTACTTAATACCTCCTATTGCTTAAGTGCTATGTAAGTTGTTGTTGTTGTTAGGTGTCACTGAGTCAAGTATGACTCATTGCGACTGAACAAAAGATCTGAACCCTGTTCCATTCTGCGCCATCCTCACAGTTCCCAACACACATGAGCCCAGTATGGTAGTATCTGTGTCAATCTCCCTGATTGGGGGTCTTATTTTCCTTCACTGACCTTGCATCCTTCCCAGCATCATGTCCCTCTCCAAGAAATAACACCTCCTAACAACATGCTCAAAGTAGGTGGGGTGAACCTTCATCATTCTTGCCTCCAAAGAGCACTCTGGCTGCATCCTCTCCAAGACATTCAGGGCTCTTCTCCAATACCACAGCTCTAAGGCATTAATTCCTTTCCTGTCATTCTTATTCATTGTCCAGCTCTCATATGTATCCCTCAACAAAATGAACTGACACAGCGATTGCAACAAGTGAGCGTAAGTATGGTAGATATTGTGAGGAGGGCACAGACCAGGGCAAGGATTTAATCTACTGTTCCTAGCGATGTTATAAGGAGAGTTCAGAGAATATATCAGCAACAACAATAGGTACTTTAAAAAAATCTCATTTAGGTATCATCACTAAACAGATATAAATTATTGAAGATTATCCAAAAACGACTGGAACAGCACATCAGCAGAGAACTGCTAGAAGTCCAGGATGGATTTAGAAGGGGCTGTGGTACTGGGGATATTGTAGCTGATGTTAGATGGATCTTAGCTGAAAGCAGGAAATACTAGAAGACTGTATATCTGTGTTTCATTGATTATGCAAAGGTGTTTGACTGTGTGAATCATAACAAACTGTGGCTGACTCTGAGAAGAATGGGAATCCCAGAACACTTGATCATGCTAATGAGAAACCTATACTTGGACCAAGAAGCAGTCATCAGAACAGAGCAGGGAAACACTGCATGATTCAAAATTGGGAAGGGCGTATGCCAGGGATGTGTCCTATCTCCACACATTTTCAACCTGTATGCACAACAGATTATCCAAGAGGCTGGGCTCTATGAGGAGAAGTGTGGCGTCAGGATTAGTGGAAGATCTATGAACAATCTGCGTTATACAGATGACACAACCCTGCTTGCTGAAAATGAAGAGGACCTGAAATGCTTGCTGCACAGGGTCAAGGACTGCAGCCTCCAATATGGATTGAGGTTCAATGTCAAGAAGACATAGATTCTCACCACTGGACCAATTGGCAGCATCAGGATGGATGGTGAAGAGATTGAGATTGTTAACAACTTTAGTTTGCTTGGCTCCACAGTCAACACTCTCGGCACCAGCAGCCAGGAAATCAAGAAACGTATTGTGATGGGAAAGTCTGCTGTGAGGGACCTCTCCAGGGTATTGAAGAGCAATGGTGTCACTCTGGAGACTAAGATGTGTCTGATACAGGCTATGGTCTTTGCAATCACTTATTATGCATCAGAGAGTTGGCCAATGACCAAGGAGGATATAAGGAGAACTGATGCCTTTGAGCTGTGGTGCTGCAGAAGATTATTGAATATACCATGGACTGCAAAGAAAACAAGCAGATTCATCCTGGAGAGGGTTAAAACAGGCTGCTCCTTGGAGGCAAGGATTCTGAGGCTTCGTCTGACATACTTTGGGCATGTTGTAAGGAGGGACAGGTCCTTGGAGAGGGACATCATGCTTAGAAGGGTAGAGGGACGGCGTAGGAGGGGAAGACCCTCTATGAGGTGGATTGATTCAGTGACTGGGATAATCAGGATGGGTGTGTCAGAGGCAGTGCGAATGGCACAGGACAGAGCAGGGTTTAGGGCTGTTGTACATAGGGTGGCTATGAGTCACAAGCGACTTGATGGTACATAACAACAACAACATCTTATAAATGTTATGACTTTATGTGGAGGAATGTGGTATCAGGCTTGAAGGAAGACTGATCAGCAACCCGCATTATGCACATGACACAATCCTGCTTGCTGTAAGTAAGGAGAACTTGAGGGGTTTGCTGCAGGTCAATGTCTGCAGCCTTCAATATGGATTAAAATTCAACATGAAGAAAATAAATATTGTCACCACTGGACCAATTGGCAGCATCATGATAGAAGGAGAAGAGACTGAGATTGTTAAC